TTGGTGATTTCTTTCTGTCTTTATGGATTTACCTATTCTGGACATTTTATTTCAGTGGAGTCATACAATGTATGGTCTTTTGTGGCTGGATTCTTTCACTAAAGTATAGCATTTTTAAGGTTTCTGTGTTGTAGTAGGGATCAATATTCCTTTTTCTGGCCAAATAATACTCATTGTATAATTATGCCATAGTTTGTTATTAGTAATGAACATTTGGGTTAACTTTTTTGTTATTTTTATTTATGCTGCTGTGAACATTAGTTTCCAGGTTTTTGTATGAGCATTTGTTTTTATTTCTCTTGAGTGTATACCTAGGAGTAGAATTGCTGGGTCATGTGATAATTTTATGTTTAAGATTTTAAAGAGCTCTTTAAAAAAGAACGTAGAATTATCAAACTCTTTTTTAAAGTAGCTGCCTCATTTTTTTTATTCATATTAGCAACATAGGAGGGTTCCAGTTTCTCCACATCCTCAACAAAAGTTGTCTTTTTCATTGTAGCTGCCTTGATATTTGCGGTATGATCACATTTTGGTTTGGATTTGTTTCTTTAATGATGAATAAAGTTGAGCATTTTTTCATACTTTTTGACCGAGAAATGGCTAAAATCTTTTTTTGAGAAATGTCTGCATGAATCCTTTGCCTGCCTCCATCTCCCCTCCACACTTTTCTTTTTTGAGACAGGCTTTCACTCTGTTTCCTAGGCTGGAGTGCGGTGGCACAATCTCGACTCACTGCAGCTTCGACCTCTGGGGCTCAGAGGATCCTCCTACCTTAGCCTCCTGAGCAGCTAGGACCACAGTTGCACACCACCACACCCGGCTAATTTTTTTGTATTTTTGTAGAGATGAGATTTCGCCATGCTGCCCAGGATGGTCTCAAACTCAAACTCAAGCAATTCCCCCACTTTGGCCTTCCAAAGTGCTGGAATTACAGGCATGAGATACCATGCCTGGCTTTCTTTGCCCGTTTTTCAGTTGGGCTGTCTTCTTATTGGGTCTTAAGAGTTTTTTATACTGTCTATTCTGGACATAAGTCCTTTATCAGATACATGAATTACAAATAATTTCTCATTCTGTCACTTTGTTGATTGTGTATTTTAATAGACAAAAGTCTTTTATTTTGATGAAGTCCAATTTATTATTTATTGCTTAAGTTTTTTGGTATCAAATCTAAGAAGGCTTTGTCTAATCTTAGTTCACAAATACTTTGTTCCTGTATTTTCCACTAAAAAATTTATAGTTTTAGTCCCTACTTTGATCCATTTTCAGTTAGTTTTTGTATGGTGAAAGGAAGAGGTCTAACTTCATTCTTTTGTATGTGAATATACAGTTGTCCCAGCACCATTTGTTGAAAAGAGTATTCCTTTTTCATTTAATTGTCTTGGCACCATTGTTGAAAATCAACTTAACACAAATGTTAGGATTTATTTATATATTGTGAATTCTATTCCATTGATCTATATATCTGTCCTTATGCCAGTACCACACAGTCTTGGTTACTCTGATTTTGCAGTAATTTTTGAAATCAGGAAGTATGAATCTTCCAACTTAGGTCTTTTTTAAGATTGTTTTGACTATTTGGGTTCTTTGCATTTTCACATGAATTTTAGAATCAGCTTGCCAATTAGTTAAAAAAATCAGCTAGGATTTTGATAAGGGAGTACATTGATTTAAAAAATTTTTTTTCATCACTATAAAACTGTAATACGTTGACCTTTTAGATTAATTTGGGGAGTATTACCTTTTATTGTTAATTTTTAAATTTCTTTTTGAGATAGGGTTTCCCTGTGTTGCCCAGGCTGGTCTTGAACTCCTGGACTCAAGCAATCCTCCTGCCTCGGCCTTCCAAAGTGTTGGGATTACAGGCATGAGCCTCCACACCTGGCCAGGGAGTATTACCTTTTAACAAATTTAAGTCATTTAATACGGGAATGTGGGGTGTCTTTCTTTTATTTGGATTTTCCTTAATATTTTTTAGTGTTTTTTGTAGTTTTCAGGGTATAAGCTTTGTACTTTTTTCATTACATTTTTAGATACTTAACCCTTTTAAAGTCAATTGCAATGGAATTGTCCTTTTCTTTTCTCTCTTTCTTTCTTTTTTTTTTTTTGAGATGAAGTCTCCTTCTGTTGCTCAGGCTGGAGTGCAGTGGAACAATCTTGGGTCACTGCAACTTCTGCCTCTGGGTTCAGGTGATTCTTCTACCTCAGCCTCCCATGTAGCTGGGATTACAAGTGTGCACCACCACACTGAGCAAATTTTTGTATTTTTAGTAGAGAGGGGGTTTCGCCATGTTGGCCAGTCTGTTCTCGAATTCCAGACCTCTCGGGTGATCCACTGCCTTGGCCTCTCAGAGAACTGGGATTACAGGCGTGAGCCACAGTGCCCGGCCTGGATTCCTTTTATTTCTTATTCTTGATGAATTGCAATGGCTAGAACCTCAAATACAATGTTGAATGGAAGGGACAGGAAGAGACTTTTCTTGTCTTGTTCCTCATCCCAGAGGGAAAGCATTTAGTCTTTTGTTGCAAAGTAGTTAGCTGTAGATTTGTCATAAATGCCTAGTTTTATATTTTAATAAAAAATAATGACTTTGATTCCAAGTCATTGCGGAAGTCAGGAAAAAAAAGACTATTTCCTTCATAGACTGAGTTTTGGTGTCAGAAAAATTCTGGGTTGGGCATGGTGGCTTATACCTGTTATCCCAGCACTTTTGGAGGCTGAGATGGGAGGGAGGGTCACTCAAACCCAGGAATTTTAGACTAGCCTGGGCAACATGGCAAAAATGTGTCTCTACAAAAAATACAAACGTTAGCTGGGCCTGGGGGTATGCATCTATGATCCCAGCTACTTGGGGGCTGAGGCAGGAGAATCGCATGTGCCCGGCAGGTCGAGGATGCAGTGAGTCAAGATTGCATCACTGCACTTTAGCCTGGGCAAAAGTGAGTGAGACCCTGTCTCAAAGAAAGAAAGAAAGAAAGAAGGAAAGAAAGAAAAAAATACCTTATTTGACCTCTATACTTGAGCATATATTAATGTAAGTTTTCATTACTATTCTAGGGCCCATGAACAAAGGCAATCTCCTGTTTTGTAGTATGTGTGTAATGATTTGTCACATTGATTTCTCATATACCATACCTACAGAAATATTTGAACAGTGTCTTACAATGAATAATGTATGTATTAAAGTTGAAATTATGAGATAGAGCCAACCGTGTGATGATATAAACATCCCAGGAAAAGAAAACGATGTATGCTTAGGCACCAAGTCAGGAAGAAGCTTGACCTTCTGCAGAATCAGAAAGGAGAACAGTGTGGCTGGAGTCTAGTAAATAAAGAAGGGTATAGTAAAGAGGGAAGGTGATTTAGGCCTTGTGTGTCACAACACAGAGAGTTTTATTTTTATTTTAAATGTAGTTAGAAACCATTGGAGAGTTAAGGACATGGCATAATCCAGTTTATGTTTTTAAAAGACAAAGACATAAAATAAAAGGCAGTATGTAACAAGTACTGTGTGATTTCAGCAAATGGGGAAATGATAGAGATGAGACTTTAGGTTGACCTGTGAAAGATAAGAATTAAACAGGCCAGGCATGGTGGCTCTTGCCTGTAATCCCAGCACTTTGTGAGGTCGAGGCGGGCGGATCACCTGAAGTCAGGAGTTGGAGACCAGCCTGGCTAACATGGTGAAACCCCGTCTCTTCTAAAAATACGAAAATTAGCCGGGTGTAGTGGTGGGCGCCTGTAGTCCCAGCTACTTGGGAGGCTGGGGCAGGAGAATCGCTTGAACCTGGAGTGAGCAAAGGTCATGCCGTTGCACTCCAGCCTGGGCACAGAGCGAGACTCCATCTCAAAAAAAAAAAAAAAAAAAAAAAAAGAAAGTTAAATAGAGAAGAAAGATGTAGTGTGGTAGCAATAAATAATGCCTGGCTTTGAAGTGGAAGACTTGGGTTTGAGTATTGATTCTGCCTCTTCTTAGATCCCCCATCTGCTTTCTCTAAACCTTGTTGCACATGAGGAGCAAATCAAATGAAAAATGCTTATAATTGTGACCCTGTGAGGGTCAGGGTGGTATATAGTCATGTCCCTGGTTTTTTGTTTATGTATCTGTGCCACTTTCTGAGAATAGGGTATATTTAAGGAAAAGAAGGGTGGATTTGAAGAGGAAGCTTAATAATTTTAGCTATATGGTGTTGAAGATACATGTCAGAGAGCTGGAAGTAGAGAGAATGATTGTGGGGGAGCAATGGCGGTGGGGGGGATGAATTAACAACATTTAGGTATGATTTAAGTCATACATAGTGTAAATTAAACTTGTAGGAGAATGAGTATAGGAAGGAAGAAAAACCTCAAGGTGTGGAAATAGCCATAGAAGTAAGAAAATCATGAAAACAAAAGTTAGTAGAAATAACTAGGACATGTTTTTGAGGGTGCAGCCAACATTATCACGGAGAGTGATTTTTCTTTTTCTGAAAGGTAGGTCATTGGTCGCCTCAGAGGTGACCAGTTGCAGAGAGGATATATGTGTAAGTCAGATTGTAGTGATTTCAGGATTAAAAGGACAAATGAGAGTTTGGCCGTAACTGGAAGGAGAGAGAAAGATAATACCAATATGCCATCATTTTATCTTTTTTTGTTTTAATTTTCTTGTCAGTTTTTAAAGATCTTAGAGACTTGAGTAATTTATTCCTTCAGAGCAATTAACAAATGAATAGCAGAGGTTAACGTCACCATTAATAGAATAAGCCAGCCATAGTCATAGAGTAGCCTCGCATAGTGCATCTCAAACTTTAATGGGTATCTTGTTAAAATGCAGATTCTGGTTCAGTAGGTTTGGGTTGGAGTCTGAGACACAGCATTTCTGACACGCTCGAAGTTGGTGCTAGTGCTGCGTGTCTGTGGACTACACTCTAAGACAGGCGTCCCCAAACTTTTTACACAGGGGGCCAGTTCACTGTCCCTCAGACTGTTGGAGGGCCGCCACATACTGTGCTCCTCTCACTGACCACCAATGAAAGAGGTTCCCCTTCCTGAAGTGTGGCGGGGGGCCGGATAAATGGCCTGAGGGGGCCGCATTGGGCCCGCGGGCCGTAGTTTGGGGACGCCTGCTGTAAGAGGTAAGGCTCTAGAGAGTATGAGATTGATGCATTATAGGGGAATTAGCCTTAGATAGAAAGAGGATCACCTTCTCTCTTAACTGAGGTGGGATGTACGGTGGATGAAGATAGAGGAAATACAGATTTGCAGGCAAGAGACATGCCTCATAGTCTTTGTTCTTTCTGTGAAACAATAAGTAAAGCTATGTTGTGAGAAGACTGGGAATGGGATTATGAGCTTGATGAAAGTTGTGAAGGTTTGGAATAGCAACTAAGAGGAGGAAAGTGAGTGAATTTGGGGCATGTAATAATTGCTGAACATTGAGGATTAGTTTGGTTATGGTATTGTAGAAATAATTGGAACAGAGAGACTAGTAATAAAGAAATTGCTTATTTTTTCTTTTCAGTAAGATGGAGTTTTGCTCTTATTGCCCAGGCTGGAGTGTAATGGCGCGATCTTGGCCCGTGAATAGCTGGAGGCATGCTCTGGCACACTTGGCTAGTTTTGTATTTTTAGTAGGTTTCTCCATGTTTGTCAGTCTTCTCTCAAAGTCCTGACCTCAGGTGATCTGCCTGTCTTGGCCTCCCAAAGTGCTATGATTATAGGTGTGAGCCACTGTGCCTGGCCATGAGATTGCTTATTTTTTAAGATGGTACGGTAGCCTAGGGAAGAGGTAATGAGGTCTAAAGTAGAACAGTGGCTTCGAGAATGGAAGAGGAGGATGTGGTAGGCCAAATAATACTTACCCAACACCCCCTCCAGGTTCCATGCCCTAATCTTTGCAATCTCTGTTGTACCTTACATTTTAAGAGGAACTTTGTAGGTATGATTAAATTAGGTGTCTTGATATAGAGGGGTTTTTCTGGGTTATCTGGATGGGTCCTGTGTAATCACGAGAATTTTAATAAAAGAGGAGCTGTAGGGTCTAGTCAGAGAACTCATGTGATGACAGGAACAGGAGAGAGGAAGTGTCATGATGAAAGTAGAGGCCTAAGTGATGGGGGTTTTGAGTCAAGGAATCAAGGCAGCCTGTGGAACCTGGAAAAGGAAAGGGAACATTTCCTAAGAGACTCCAGAAGGAACAAAGCTCTGGTGACATGTTGATTTTAGCTCCCTGATACTGATTTTGGACTTCTGACTTGCAGAACTGCAAGATAGTAAGTTCCTGTTGTTCTAAACTGCTAACTGTGGGGCTTTCTGTTATAACAACAATCAAACATTCAGAGGGTGTGGATATAAGGAAACTAGATTTCTAGACTGGGTAAATGAGTGGAAAGTAGTGAAATTAAAAATAGAGGAGTAGATATTAGAGGAAGGTATATTCATTTTGCATGTCATTTCAGGAACTGGTGAGAATGGTATTTTGAATCTAGTAATATAGAGTACATAGAGTGGAAGTAAATCGGAAACAAGAAGATGAATTTAAGAGGCTACCACAGTGGTGTTACATATAGTTAATAGGGCTGTTAAAATAATGTTAACATGACAAAATACATAGGAACATAAAAAATTTTGACTGAGAAGGTGGTGAAAGGGATGATTGAGAGAGACAGATTTTTGAAAAAGTATTATCACTGTATATTTATATAGTGCTTTTCAGTTTGGGAGTCATATTCATACCTTTTTGGGGGGTTAATAAGTTTTTGAAATGGACACAGCTGCTATTAGCAGCTCTCTCCAAAGAACACTGAATAGTCTAACAATGGACACTAAACAGTTGGATTTCAGGATACTGGCTTTTTTTTTTGGTACTACTTTGTGTTGTGTGTATTTGGGAAAACCTGTTAGAAACATACGAAGTTCTTCTCTTAAAGAGGTCCTGTAGCCTCTTAAAAACATCAAAAACAAGAAACAGGTAATATGTATTCATTGATTTCTACAACAATACTGGGAAAACATTTTTAGAAAGAAAAATTTTGGCTGGGTGTGATGACTCACTCCTGTAACCCTAGCACTTTGGTAGGCCAAGGTGGGCAGATCACTTGAGTCCAGGAGTTCGAGATCAGCCTAGGCAACATGGTGAAACCCTCATCCTTACAAAACATACAAAAATTAGCCAGGCATGGTGGTACGCGCCTGTAGTCTCGGCTACTTTGGGGGCAGAGGTGGGAGGATCATTTGAGCCTGAGATAGCAAGGCTGCAGTGAGCCTTATTTGTGCCACTGCACTGGAGTCTTCAAGATAAAGTGAGAGACCCCGTCTCAAAAAAAAACAACAACAACAAAAAAAAAAACAAGATTATCTATTAAAGAAGGAAGTTGGACCTGCTACCTACCTCCATTTCTATTATTTTAGTAAAACATTATCATGCCAGTTCATTATATAAAGATGCATTTCTCTCTTATTCTATAACCATAAGGCTGAAGTATTAAATCAGTAGTAAAAATGACCTAAACTTAAATTTGTTTAGTTTTAAGTTCCCAAACCATGTTTGTTGTGAACAGTAAATATATTACTGGAATTTATTAGCAAATCACAACATCTGAGAGAATGGAAATTTACTAAGACATGGAATAAATAGTTTAAGGAAGGAACTTTTGTGGAAAAATAGAGGAGTTGGAGAGGAATGGAAGTTGTATCCAGAAGAATTCAATTGATATAGTGATCAAATACTATAAAAAGTAACTTCCAAAGTATCTTTTTATAGAACCAAAGGTTTCTGAATCTTTATTGATACTTCTGTTATTCAGATTCTGTCTAAAAGAGAATAACAGGCAAGAAGAATTACTTGTGTTTGGATTTTACCTATTATCTTTGTATGTCTTTTTCTAGATAAGATTTACTGATTGCAAATCTCAGTTAAATATAGTTTTTGTGTCTCTGTGAAACTGATGACCAGAATCTTGCCAGTGTAGGAAAGCTGATTTAAGAAAAAGTTTGCTTTCTAAGCCTTCTGTGCTGTTACCTTTGATGAGACAATAACCTCTTTGCTTTCTTCTGCTGCTTGCCTTTCGGTTACTCATCAGTATCTGATCAGGGCAATAGAAACATGACGTGTATCAGACTTGTTTGGAGCGCCAACAAAATCTGAAGGGAGAGGAAATTAAAAATGTGGCTGAGTATTTCATTTATGATACTTTTGGTTCCTATCTTATTTTACAACCGTCTTAAAGTCAGTTCACATTTAGCCAAACATTTCTCTTCATTTCTATGTATAATTATAAGCTTACTGATTTTTAGCAATTGGTATATATGAATATTTAATAATAAGCAAGTATTGGATTAGAATGTTTTCTAAAACAATGTTCCCATTAATCGAAATCTTGATATAAAGTATGGGTTTTTATGAAATGCTTCCTCAGTACTGAACCCTAGTTGACCTTCATACTTGTTTTTGAAAGAATGAGGTAGAAAATGAACTTGTGTCTGAGTCTCTCCTAAACCTAATCATCGTTTGTTTTTTATCCTAGAGTTATAGAATGTTTCTAAACACTTCCCTCCACCCTCTATTAATGTCAACTATGAACAGAAACTTTCAGTGGCCAGACACGGTGGCTCACGCCTATAATCCCCACACTTTGGGATGCCAAGGCAGGAGGATCCCTTGAGCCCAGGAGTTCGAAACCAGGTTGGGGAACAAAGTGAGACCCCCATCTCCACAAAGTTAGCTGGGCATGGAGGCACACACCTGTGGTCCCAGCTACTCAAGAAGCTGAGGTGGAGGATTGCTTGAGCCCAAGAAGTAGAGGCTGCAGTGAGCTGTTGGTAATACCACTGCACTCCAGCCTGGGTGACAGAGTGAGACCATGTTTCCAAAAAAGAAATTATTTTCTCTCTGCTTACTTACTTGAATTTTAAAAATTTGATGAAACAACAAAAAAAAATGTTGTGGGTACATAGTAGATGTATATATTTACGGGTTACATAAGATATTTTGTTGCAGGCATGCATGCATATTAGTCGCATCAGGGTAAAGGGGTATCCTTTTATCCTTTGTGTTAGAAGCATTTATCTTTTGTGTTACAAACAATCTAGTTATACTCTTCTAGTTATTTGTAAATGTGCCATTAAATTTTTTTTACTGTTGGACAGGTGTGGTGGCTCACACTTATAATCCCAGTACTTTGGGAGGCCGGGGTGGGTGGATTACTTGAGGTCAGGAGTTGGAGACCAGCCTGGCCAACATGGTAAAATCCTGTCTCTACTAAAAATACAAAAATTAGCCAGATGTGGTGAGGCATGTCTGTAATACCAGCTGTCGGGAGGCTGAGGTAGGAGAATTGCTTGCATCGGAAGGTGAAGGCTGCAGTGAGCTGAGATTGTACCACTGCAGACTCTGACCCCCCCCCCCAAAAAAATTTTTTTTAATTTATTTATTTTTACTGGAGTCACCCTGTTGTGCTAGCAAACAGTAGATCACCTTCATTCTTTGTATTTTTTGTGTCCATTAACCCTCCCCTGTCCATCCACTCTGTCACTACCCTTCCAGCCTCTGATAGCTGTCCTTCTATTCTCTGTCTCCATGAGTTGAATTATTTTAATTTTTAGCTCCCACAAATAAGTGAGTACATGCAAAGTTTGTTTTTCTGTGCCTGACTTATTTCATGTAACATGATGACATCCAATTCCATCCATATTGTTGGAAGTGATGGGATCTCATTCTCTTTTTATGGCTGAATAGTACTCCATTGTGTATATGTACCACATTTTCTTTATCCATTCATCTGTTGATGGACATTTAGGTTACTTCCAAATCTTTGCTATTGTGAATAGTGCTGCAGTAAACATGGGAGTGCAGATATCTCTTCAGTATTATTGATTTCCTTTCTTTGGGGTATGTACCTAGGAGTGGGATTGCTGAATTTTAAGATAGCTCTATTTTTAGCTTTTTGAGGAACCTCCAAACCGTTCTTCATAGTGGTTATACTAATTTACATTCCCATCAACAGTGTACAAGGGTTCCCTTTTTTCCACATCCTTGCCAACCAGCTCCTTGGCAGAGGAGGTTAATGTGTTAACCTGCCTACTTCAGAGTTCACCACCAACAAAAATATGTTGAATTTAAGACCTGGGTTCTGGAAAAAAACAGAATCTAACTCAGACGGTATAAGAGACTTTAATGCAGGGACTGCAGAGGTGCAGTGGGTTAAGGGAACCTGTAAGGCATGTTTTTGCAACAAGGAAGCCCAAAGGGGCAGGAAAAATAACAGTGCTGTTGGAGCCTTGTGAGAGCTATGAAGAGGGTGCCTCACAGCAATCCTGGTGGTAGAGGGATGCAGCTTCTGCCAGAAAGTGTGGCCATGAGGAGGGAGGGAGCTAGGAAGAAATAATCCAGCGTTTCTCTGCCTTCTTATGTTCTGTCAATGGCAGGACAGCAGTGGAACCCAGAAGGCATATCTGTTGAGGTCAACATCATTGGGCTCAGAGTAGGGCAGAAAGATAATGGGTGAAAAGGTAGTTGCAGTAAGATAATAAGCAATGCAACTACTAGTGATTTTAGGTGTTGACTTCAGGTAAATGTAATATTTTACTCAATTTCCTATCCGTTAATTATGCATACCTTACTGGGTTGATGGGGGCATTAAATGAGACAACGTGTGAAAGTACTATCATAGTGTCTGTGTCTTGTGAGTATACTAAAAGTTTTAGTGAGGTGTGGATTTGAAAAGCTCAGCTTCTTTTTACTTGGTACTGTGTTGAATTTATTTTGTAGGAACTTCGGTTGCCACCATACTTTAAAATATATGTTTTCCAATAATTTTGAGAAGCAAATGGCACCATTATTAATAAATAGTTCCTAAGATTTAGTTTCTCATTTTTTATAGAGCCAGGAGCCTGAAAACCTAAGTCCTAGTTCAGGCTATACCACTATTTGTGGCATAGTTCTTTGTGGGAATTATTTTTACTTTGCCTCTCTGTGCTCTTCCCTTCTGATAAATTGGAGTAATAATCCACAATTTGTAAATGTTTGATTCTATTATGGTAAAATAATAGTTGTCAAGCACTTAAATGAAGACTTAAATGATATGTATATTAACTTTTTTTACTATCGTTCATTTTGAAGAGTGTCAGAGCCTCAGATTAAGAGTGATTGGATGGTTTTTACTCTGTTGCATTTTCTGTGTGGGATTATGTAGCTCATAAGATATTATTTTGTTTATGTGTGTTATGTGAGTAAAGTGATTATGCTCACTCATGTCTATTTTAGTTAATATGTGTGTGAATGTAAATTTTCTTTTATTTTTTTGAGACAGTCTTGCTCTGTTGCCCATGCTGGAGTACACTGGCATGATCTTAGCTTACCACAACCTCTGCCTCCCAGGTTCAAGTGATTCTCCTGCCTCAGCCTCCTGAGTAGCTGGGACTACAGGCGTGCACCACCATACCTGGCTAATTTTTGTGTTTTTAGTAGAGACGGGGGTTTCACTGCGTTGGCCAGGCTGGTCTCAAACTTTGGACCTCATGATCTGCCTGCCTCAGCCTCCCAAAGTACTGGGATTACAGGCGTGAGCCACCGCGCCTGACTGTAAATTTTCTTAAAACTATCTTTCTGAAACAAATCCTAAGAGACCCTATTTATTGCCCAGTAGTAGGTCTTGTCTATTTCACTCTTGCCATGGACAGACCACTGCTTACATCTGAACGTATGGATGAGGAAGGTAGTTTTGAGGTGTGGCAACTGTCTCCTGGTAAAAGATATGTCAGACTTTACCCTACTAGTATTACCATTGATGTATCCTTATTGCATACTTCTTTTTTCTGAGACAGCAGTGATGCCTTGTGACATTTTGCCTCCTAATTTTTACATTTGTAGACCACAGCAAGATCAGGGCAATCCATTTGGAAGAAAACTGTGACCACTTTAAAGAACTTATTATTTTTCAAAACTCCTTCAAAAATGTGAATTTGAAATTAAGTAAATTCCTACTTTATTTCATAAATTCAAGTTAGCACTGTCTTTGTAAATTCCAAACTGAACCTTTTTCCATTACTGACTAAATCTTAATTATTTCTCACCAGACGGTCTGGCAAATCCCGAAGCAGAAGCCCATATTCATCTAGGCATTCAAGATCTCGTAGCAGGCACAGGTTGTCTAGATCCAGAAGTCGTCATTCTAGTATTTCTCCTAGCACACTAACTCTGAAGAGTAGCCTGGCAGCTGAATTGAACAAGAATAAAAAAGCACGAGCGGCAGAGGCAGCAAGAGCCGCAGAAGCAGCGAAAGCTGCAGAAGCAACTAAGGCTGCTGAGGCTGCTGCCAAAGCTGCAAAAGCTTCAAACACTTCTACACCTACCAAGGGGAATACAGAAACTAATGCCAGTGCATCGCAAACAAACCATGTGAAGGATATGAAGAAAATGAAAACTGAGCATGCACCTTCTCCCTCAAGTGGTGGAACTTTAAAAAATGACAAAGCAAAAACAAAGCCACCTCTTCAGGTAACAAAGGTGGAAAATAATTTGATTGTAGATAAAGCCACCAAGAAAGCAGTCGTAGTTGGAAAGGAGAGTAAATCTGCTGCTTCAAAGGAGGAACCAGTATCTCTTAAAGAGAAAACCAAACCACTTACACCAAGCATAGGAGCCAAGGAGAAGGAGCAACATGTAGCTTTAGTGACCTCTACATTACCACCATTACCTTTGCCTCCCATGCTGCCTGAAGATAAAGAAGCTGATAGGTAAGTGCAAAAATATTTGTCAATAACTGTTTAAAGAAAAAATGCAAATCTGAAGTGAGAAATGATTTGGCCTCCCCAGCCCTCTCGAAACAACCTTAGTAAAAAAGACCACAAGTAACTGAATGAATTCTGTTTATTATATGCATCTTAAAATGAAGTACATTTGCATACAAGTTGGCAAAATTAAAAGTTTATGCTAAGAAATTCAGGGAAATATTGCCATTGCCTTGGGATCCAGTGAATATTTCAGTATGAGTTTGGGTATTAGAAATGCCAGTATTCTCTTTGGTTGAGTTTTCCTTGATGATACAGTCAGAGACAGGACATTTTATGAGTGAGTTGGCCCTGGTTAATATAAGTCTCATAAGTGTTTGTCTCATTTATTTTTGAGTTTCTTCAGTGGCCTTGTAAATCTATCACTGTCAGTGGCTTTATCGTCAGTTTTTAGTGTAGTCTTTTTGTAACTCTTTTTTTTTTTTTAATTCTTCCCAAGCCAATGTAGTTCTTAATCTTAAATCTTTTACTTAAAAAAACTTTTTTTTAGCCTGTCTTGCAGTTAGGGATTAATCACATTATATTATAGAAAACTCATAATGTAGCTGGGCACGGTGGCTCAAGCCTGTAATCCCAGCACTTTGGAAGGCTGAGGTGGGTGGATCACCTGAGGTCAGGCGTTCAAGACCAGCCTGGCCAACATGGTGAAACCCTGTCTCTACAAAAAATACATAAAACCTACCTGGGCATGGTGGCGGGTGCCTGTAATCCCAGCTACTCGGGAGGCTGAGGCAGGAGGATCACTTGAACCTGTGAGGCGGAGGTTGCAGTGAGCTGAGATTGAGTCATTGCACTCTAGCCTGGGCTACAGAGTTAAGAACTTGTCTCAAAACAAAGCAAAATTAAAAAAAACCCAAAGAAACCCTCAAAACTCATAATGTGATTATGCTTTCCTTTAATTTGTTTAAACATTTCTATTATGAACATTGGGGGTATGGCTTTTTTAAATTGAGAAACATTATATTCTTAAGAGGATGAAGGTAAGAGGGACTGTAAAGTAAATACAGCTAAGAATATTTCTTTTATGTATCCTAGGGTAGAAGAATTAGACTATCGTGAGGTTTATCTGCCTATTACACCACTTAGCTGTTTTTATTTTTATGAAGAAGTTAGAGCTGCCACTCCTTCCCACTCCCCATTTAAAAACAACTATATGGGCCGGGCGCGGTGGCTCAAGCCTGTAATCCCAGCACTTTGGGAGGCCGAGGCGGGTGGATCACGAGGTCGAGAGATCGAGACCATCCTGGTCAACATGGTGAAACCCCGTCTCTACTAAAAATACAAAAAAACCAGCTGGGCATGGTGGCGCGTGCCTGTAATCCCAGCTACTCAGGAGGCTGAAGCAGGAGAATTGCCTGAGCCCAGGAGGCGGAGGTTGCGGTGAGCCAAGATCGCGCCATTGCACTCCAGCCTGGGTAACAAGAGCGAAACTGCGTCTCAAAGAAAAAAAAAAAAAAAAAAAAAACAACTATATGAGTAGTTTTCCTAGCTGACTTTAAAAAATACATGTATTTTGAAAACAGATGGATAAAAATGCCATGTGCACAAGTGCTTACTTTGTCATTATGAAACTTTTAGAATTTAACACAAACAAAAGTAAAAATCATAATTCTTGAATTTCATGCCCATTGAGGTGCCTTTTTAAAAAGAATCAAAATGTTGGGAGACCCCATCCAACTTAATCAGGTTTTATTTGATTATACTGCTATAATTGTATTTGCAGGTTTGACTGTTTTCAAGGAACACTTAAGTGTTCATTACCGTAAGTAGTGATTTGTAATTGTGATGAGTCCTAGAATGGGCTCTCCAGCATACAGGGGCTTGAGTGTGGGATTGATCACTTCATTAGTGAGAGTAACCAGTTACTGAGAATACATGTTTGATTGAGACTGGTGGTTCTCTACTTTATTCTTCATATATACTTTAGGAGTAAATTTTTACTAGGATATTTTCAGGAACTCTGTACGTACACATGAGTACTTAATGAGGATATTCTTTATGCATCTGTCTTTAATTAGTTGGTGGCACATTTAATTCTTGGTCATTACTTTTGTTTTGATCCATCTTTTCTGTCTTCTGCTTTTTCCTCTTTTTGTTTTCTCTTTCTTTGAATGTGTTTGTATGTTTAATGGATACAGAAGTTTTTTTTGAGATTCGTGAGCACTGCTATTATGTGTGTATAGCCAAAGATTAAATCATCACCAATGGAACTTTCCTTATTTTGATGTCTGTAATTTAACTACCAAAATGTAAACATGTGAGGAAGAGACTTTATATTCTATTTTACTTTTTATAAAAGTTTTCAGGTGATTAAATTAAAATGTATTTTAAAAAGAAATGGTTAGAAGTGATTGCTTTTAGAAATAAATGGGTGTTGAAGGGAATGCATAGCACAGGAGACTTATTTTATATTTAATATTTATAATACTGTTAGAAGTACAATACAGTTTGTTAGTGGGCTATAGTAGAAAGCTTAGTTTTTAATGCTGGTTGTACCTCTTACTACTCTCATGACTTAATCTTTCCGTGCCTCAGTCCATTTAGTTCTATTCATGGGTGAAAATATTTACAGTTTAACCTCACAGATTAGTTATAAAGTTTAAATGAGTTGATGGACTCAATTTTGCAAGCTGTAAAGTGTTAACGCATCTTAGTTATTGTAATTAGTCATTGTATAAATCAGCACTGCAGGAAATTTTAAAAATATTTAAAACTACTTTACTGAAAAAAAGTAAAAATTACAAAATTGATTTACATTGTGTAATATATAAACCATTATATGTGTAACATGTAGATATGTTGCTTAAGGAATAGACCTAGTGCTTCAATTGAAAAAGATTGATTTTTGTAAAAGAGGAACTATTGGTTGGTTTTCCATCCCCTTTTATAATGGAGGGGGATCACCCTCAGGCCATTTTTTCCATGTATCTGAAAGTAATAGTCATGGTAATTTGATGTTTACAAGTTTCTTTTTAGTAACCATTGTATACTTTTTATTTTGTGCTGAACAGCTATTAGTTGAAAGTGGTTTATAAACTATTTCTGTTGAGGTAAAGAAACAATCTTTTCTGTTATAACATGGTTTAGGAAACCTGAATATGGGAGGTATCTTTATTTACTTGTTACTCACTGTAAATTTAAAGATAATTTTAAAGAAGAGTGAGTAATGGTCTGCATAATCTCATTGCGTATCTTAAGGAAAGCTTTTGATCTTTGCTTTCTTTGAACATGCCTGTGTCTATATTCCTGGTTAACTGTCACTGTTGTATCCACACATACATTAGCAGAAGGGTGTGTGTGTGTTTTGGGTGGCCTCTTGATTTTGCAAATCTATACTCAACTTGTTTTTGCTGTTTTATTATATATCCAAGTAAATTCTCCCCTTCCCTCATACGTTTTTTTGTTTTGAAAGTATTCAAGCACTTAGAAAAATTGAAGAATAATAAAATTAGCATCTGTATAACTACTGGATGATAGTTATCTAGTTGGGTAATCTAATTACCCATCTACATTCAGCAGTTGTTAACATTTTGTTTTATATGCTCCGTCTCAATGGGTGTGGTGGCTCACAGTTGTAATCCCAAAGTGTAATCAGCACTTTGGGAGGCCAAGGTGGGCAGATGGCTTGAGCTTAGGAGTTGGAGACAAGCCTTGGCACGTGGCAGTACCTCATGTCTTCAAAAAATATACAGATTAGCTGGCTGTGGTAGTGCACACCTGTAGTCCCAGCTACTTGGGGAGGCTAAGGTGGGAGCATCACCTGAGCCCGAGAGGTCGGGGCTGCGGTGAGCTGTGATTGCACCACTGCACTCCAGCCTGGGTGACAGAGTGAGACCATGTCTCAAAAAAAAAAAAAAAAAGAAAAAGAAGAGAAAAAGTTACACACAAGCACTCATGCACATTCCATCTTTAGTTAGGAGAACTAATGAGGGTGTGTGTATATGTATACACTTTCTTTCCCCCCGGAGATGAAGTCTTGCTCTGTTGCCCAGGCTGGAGTGCAGTGACAAGAACTGAGTTCACTGCATCCTCCGCCTCCCCAGTTCAAGCAGTTCTGCTGCAGCCTCCTCCCCAGTTGAAGCAGTTCTCCTGCCTCAGCCTCAGTTGCGCACCACCACGCCTGGCTGATTTTTGTATTTTTAGTAGAGACAGGGTTTCACCATGTTGGCCAGGCTGCTTTTGAGCTCCTGACTTTGTGATCTGCCTGCCTCGGCCTCCCAGGCAGTGAGATTACAGGTGTGCTGGGATTATGGGTGTGAGCTACCATGCCTGGCTGGGTATACATTTCTTTTAGCTATACCTTAAATACTTCAGTCATCTCCCAGGAATAAGGTCAGCCTCCTGCTTGATCACAGTATCATTGTGATAACAAGGAAATTAACAGTAGTTAATAATCTAATGGAAATGAACAATAATGTCAACCACTATATGTAATCAATAATCAGTACTCCCCACCCCAGCCCCATGACTTTTTGAAGAGTCTAGGCCAGTAATCTTATAGAATGTCCCACCTTTGGATTTATCTGATTATTTCTTTTTGGTATCATTTAACTTCTCCAACCCCTTTGTTTCCCATAGTCTGGAAATTACTTGTGCTTTGTTTAGATCAAGAATAAACAGTTTTTTAGCCAGAATAGTTAAGAGATAATTTTGTGTAGTTTATGCTATTGTTACAGGGGAACCAAAATATCAGACTGTCTTACTCTACTAGTAGTGATGTGATCATTTGGTTAAGGTGATGACCAACCTTAAGGTCTCTCCATGTATGAGGGTGCATACCTGGAGTTTGCTTTGCAGTTAGAAGTGAGCTGTAGGTTAATACTTCTGACAATGATTGAATATCCTTTTCCCCAACAATATCCTACCACCTAATGGTTTAGCAACCATTAATGATCTTTGTCTAATTCAGTTACTATAGT